CCTGTCTTCCATATATCGTTAACGTAGCTCGATCGCGACCGTATTAAAATTTAACATTTAAATCCTTCGATCACTACAATATTACACCGCGACATTTGTACACAGAACAATCACATGAATTTCCACGGGCGGCTCCTCGTCCCGTTCGCCGAGCCGCGCTCTGTACCCTTCCGCCTCGCTTCCGGTCTCTCGCGTTCGACGCACCAGCCGGCCATCCGGTTCCTCTTCTCTTCGTTCGGAACTCGTTCTCCGTTTCCCCTTCACGACGATCTCGCTTCGCGTTCTTCGCCGTTGAACGTCGATCCACCGATCTCGAATCCGTCCGTCCTCCGCCGCCCGTCGACCGGACCGGCGCCATCTTGGATCCTCCGCATCGCGCTGGGCTCGAGTGTCCGGCAGCGCGAGTCCCCGACGTGCAACGCGGGAAGAGGCTTCCTCTTGTACCCCGGGCCGTCGATTGCCCGCGAGGCGACGAACCGCTCCTTCAGCTCGCCGACCGGAGCACGGTGCTTCCGTCACGCTTCTACGTTTCCCGTTCCGCAAGAACCGTCATTCCATCGTCTACCTTCACTCGCGACTACTGCTGCAACGTGAGAAAGAGTTGCGCCGGTTAATGCGTTTGCTCGTGGAACATTGGACGTATTTATTTCACCGCTATACTTGTCCGTACTGACCGGAAGATACATTTGTTCCCGTAATTCAACGTTACTATTTTACTCATCGAAATTCGCTGTTCGAAATTAACTCTATCATCGAATGTTTTCCAATAGAAATATTCAACGTTTCGCGACGAGACGGGATACGTTCTTCGAATCCAATGAGAACTAAATTACGAAACAAACTCTATTTCAACACCGCAAAGGTCAATAGTCAAGTGACTAACCGTCAATATTTCCTTTCCGAAGGGTTCAAGGATCTCTACTCGCGTACTTCACTATGTAATACATATTCCTTCTCCAACGTGCGTTCTTTTTACAAAAGAAATTCTATTTCAACACTGCAAAGGCCAATAGATAACTTTATTCATCGATAGTTCCTTTCCGAAGAGTTCTAGAATCTCTACTCGCGTACTTCTCTATATATATTCCTTCTTCAACGCGTGTGTTCGTTATACGAGCGCAATTATCTATCGTTCAACGTGTTCACGTAATACGCAAAGTCCCGTAAACTTGTTCATCGTAGCGATAACGGACCACTCTGCTCCGGATCAGCCTGAACATCGCACGGAGCCAATGTTCATCGAATCAATCCGCGCGCAGAGGGAACAACGGGTCACACAAACAAGGCTACTTTCCCACGTACCTTTATAAGTGATGTCCATAGTACTCTGGCGGGTAATGGTACTGATTGTGGAAGGTGGGATCACCGGGCGGCCGGTGCATCATGCTCGCCGCCTGTCCGTCCATCATGTATCCCATCGTCGCATCCGGACTGTATGCCCCGCTCGGACCTGCGGACAATGGTGGAAACACTACACGTTACTACGGTTAGATCTCTGTTCCGTAATTGGCAAGCGGGTATTGGAAAAGCTCGCCAGTCCTCTCGACAGCATCCTCGAGGTCCCTTTCGGTGTTCCTCTGCACGGCAACGGGAACACGCGCGATCGATGCCCCTCAAGAACGGGCGAGTCGGGATCTGGCGAGCTGTGTACTTGTGATCGGCCGGCGTCACGATCGCTCCTTATAAGCCACCGCTTTTCCTTCCCTTCATCTTTCATCGAGAGGGGAATTCGTGCTCTCGAAATGGAAGGAACAGTAATTGAAACTATCACTCTTATCGGTATGCCTGCGATCGGTTGCGTGAAAGTTTCCTCGGAGCTTTCTGATCGATTGATTATTAACTCGCTTCGTCGAGTTCTTCGATTCATCGAATTTCCTTTTACCTTCGACGCGATTGTACGGGTGGTAAGGTGGTGGTAAAACGAACTGAAAGCTTGTACAGTAATAAATAGTAAACAAAAGGGACAATCGGTGAATTAATATGTTACAGAGGAAATTAATAAATATTCTATCTTATTTACCACTGTACAGTAGAAGGGTCTGGAAGTAATTTTACCATCCTTCGAGAACACATGGGAGCAAACACGATCGTGACACCGACCGAATTGACGCGTTCATGTCACCCAATTTTCTATCCTACGTTCGCTGTAAATGAGGTTTCTTCGGTATATAAATCAGCGAATTAAACCCCGAGGACCGTAATATCGGTAAATAGACGTGGACCGGAAAGCTGCGACTCGCTGCGCCAGCAATTCGGCCACGAGGACGCGTCAGGATCCGAGGGATTCAATCTTCGTCGGCTCGGAGCGATCCGGTGGAACGCGACGACAGCTACTCTCTCTTTTCGTAAGCGGTAATGGAGCCAGGGATCCACGGGAGGCTCCCCTAGTTTTAATGTCGGTATCTTAATGTATATTGCCGCGATAAATCAAGGGCACTGATTGCGTCCTACCCTCCGGCACCAATACCAAAGCGAGCCAACCGGCGAACAAAAACGAGCGAGGGAGGGGGGCAGATCGGGCGTCATCGAAATCTCGAACGCGAAAACCCCGTACAACAGCCATTGTAGAACACTCTTCGAAGCCTTTCTTATGCTAAACCAGAATGAACTATCTCCTTCGGAGAGATATTGCGCTGTTTATTGCCAGTGAAATACATTCTCGCAGTCGACCTGCGTTTTTAGTAGAAATTTTACTCGTTCGAATAATAAGAACAAGTTTACCCGAATAAAATAGTATATAGTTAACGAATAAGTAAATAATACGATTATTTATATTCCAATGGATCGTTGAAAACACATTCGACCCATCACTCGTCGAGACAAAAACGAACTAATCTTCATTGAACGAGTTCCTCGGAGTCCGAAGCACAAGCTCGTGGAATCAGTCGTTCTATACGGCGAGGATATAAAAGGTAGAAGTTATCCTTGGATCCGACGATGTCCGGAGCATTTACCTAACAATAGAATATCGATGAGCGCGTAGATTTCCTTAAATCTTCCGAAACACCGGAAGGGAAGGCGGAACGGCCGCGATAGCCGAGCGGAGTGGGGCGGATAAAAATGATCGGGTCGCCGCGCAATTCATTTTCCGGCGCACGAGAACGATCCCGCGGCGTGAAGGATCAACGGAGCCGTTTTCCACCAATCACGGGAGCCCGAACGATTATTGCGGACCCAATAAAACCGCCGCGTGCAGGCTGCGATGCAGCGAGCGCGCTCGCGAAAGGAGCGTCCCTCTCGCGGCCTATCCGCCGTGGCCGCGTGGAATGTAGCCTCGTATTATAGCCGCCGCGATATCCCACTAACGAGGGACGCGCGCTTGTAGTGTGATTAAACCGCGCTATAACGCAGCGGGGCGCCCCGGGATGGCTCGGACGGGCCACAATATCGGAAATTAAGGAATCGGCCGCGCGGGAGACGCTCGAAGGAATCGCGAGCCCCGGGGGAAAGGGGCAGAGGCGATCCTTTCAAGACGAGAGTCGCGAACTTGTCTCCTTCTGTACGTGCAAATTGCCTCGTTAAACCTCGCTCGATCGACCGGCCCGGCGATTACCCCCTGTAAAATTGTCCGCGAATCGAAGTTATGCGCGTGGCCAGCGGTCGTTGCCTCTCCCGATCCGGAGTTTTCCACCGTGGCCGGGCTTGATTTCTCAACCCGTTTGCGTCGCGCGGAAGTATGAAAAGTGTCGCGCGGATGCGTGAAATATCGCGTTGATAACTGCCCGCGCTTATCGATATTCTTATTGTAGATCGAACGTATCTCGAACCGAGCGGGGAATTTAATGGTTCGACGGGGAGTACTTGTCATTCGAGTGCGGTGTTTATGCGAATTCGAGGACCGATGACGCAAGTTGCGAGCGTGTTTCGTTGTTTAAGGGAGATCGGTTAGGAATATATTGGTATAGGGTAATCTAACTTCTTTTCTATATATCTCTTATCTCTTGGTTGATTCATTATTCTAATTACAGATTAAATACCGCGCAACGTTCAGACGTTTGAAGGTAGCCAGGCTGGCTGGAAGTGCGGAAGGTTGGCCAAATAAATCAACGTTCAGCGCTAACGACACCGAACAATATTTAAGCTGCACGAGGTCCTTCCACAAACTGGACTCCAATTAATTCCGACGGGGCAGCTACCGCGGCGACCGATATCATACCGCAGCCGATTAAACCTACATGACTCTATCCCCATCCCCGGCCGTCCGACCGCCATCGACAAGAACAAAAGAATCGATGGTATCTCTCCGGGTCGTCAGATTCTTATCGAGCCCGAGGAGAAACGATCCTCTATCGGCCGGGTCTGCCCGGCCTGGTCCGGCAAAAAGACGCTCTCGCGCTGCGCCCGTGCGTCCCTCTCATCGCGCTTTAATAAACGAAGACGAACCATCCGTGTAGATATGATCGCCGCCTTAATGGCACTTCTTACGGCGCCTTTGAGTCTCGTGGAGATAGCACTTTAGAGTCGTACGGGGAGTTCGTTAGCCGGTTCCTTCATCACGAAACGACGGTTACTTTTCCACGTGAACTGGGCTGGAGGGTGGAACGACGACGGTTGCCACGATGTAACGAGGATCCGCGGGAAAAACGCGGCGTAACGCAATAAAGCCGAGCCGGAAGGCTCGCCCGCTTGCCTAGGTACCGTGTAAATCCTCAAAGCTGCTCGGTTCCTTGCAGTTCTACCCGAGCCGGCGCCAAAACTACCGGCAATACCGTCCCGCCCGGTGATTTAGGAGCGTTTCCAGCAGCGGTGGTTCGTTAATTGCGGGCGCGGCGAGCTGCGGGCAAGCGTGTCCATTGATGCGGCTATTTGGGGCTTCAAGATGAATCGAAGAATGCGGAAAACGTCTAAGGGAGATCCTCTTTGGATCGAAGAGCGTGTAATTTGTTGGTGAAACTATCGGACAGGTCGAAATTATCTATTCCTGATATCTTGTTGCAACCGTTGAGATGCTTCTTTGGAGAATTATCGAAGAAATCGAGTTAGCGAATTGAATTGTGAATCAGTTGAATCTTCGATAGATGCGTTTGGTGTTTATATTAAAATATCTTGAAAAGTCGATTCGATTGTTGGGTAGTTTTGGTGGTAGAATGGTCTGCATAGGTATTGGAAATGGGAAATATTGTTAAAATAAGGAACATATTTTATAGTAATAGTTTCATTTACTCAAAGGCGAGTGTTATCGTCGTATTTGCTTTTATCACTGATGGAAATATTTGTTACGGTGTAAGAGTAATTATTATGACGGATTCTTGGCTCGTTCGGTCGAGTAGTTTCTGCCAGAGGCAGTAACGGTGTCTGCCAATCAAGAAGCGCGTTCATGGCGGATCAACGTTGCGTTGTTCGGAAGGATGGAGTAAGTGTGAGTGTCCGCATTCACTTGGTACGCTCTCTGGATTTTATTCGATTGAATAATGGTTGATTTAGCAACGATTACAAATTGGCCGACCGGGTGATAAATAGCCGGCAAATTGATTAATAAGGGAGCGTTAAACGCATCATTATAATCGAGGATGAATTATGCGGGCTACCGCGCGCGCAAAGGTCACCGGAGAAATTTATGGCAGAGTTTGCGGGTGCAGCGCCGACTCAGTGAAATTGAACAAAAAGAATACGAAGTCGAATTTCAGATCGATTGGAAGCTGAATAAACAAAGCCTCGTTGCACAAATATGCGCCGCGTTTTAACGCAAGATATTAACGAATAACAAAGAAGAACCTCTTCATCGGAAATCCTTTCTTTCAATCCCATCAAAACGATGTAAAGATTCCAGCACCATCGATCACAGTAACAAACACCAAAATTTAGAAATAATATTACAGATACATTCAAAGATTCCAAATCCAAAAACTACCTATATATCCTTACACCTTCATCGATATATTTCCCTGCAGTCACCACAATCTTCCGGAATATAATTCAAAGAAGAAAAACCCAGATTAGAAACATCTCCAAAAGTAAACACCGAGAAAGTCCACTTACTTCGATCAAATCGCCGCGTTTCTCTCATCGTAACCGATTCCGGAAGACACCGCGCGGATTACCAAGGATGCCGGCCGAGTTTCCATCCGCGTCCGCGATTACCTTTAATCAGCGGGCTCGTGCGGACCGCAAAACACGGAAAGACACCTTCGAGCAGCCACTAAAGCGTATCTATTATACCGAGGAAGATAATCCCCTCGGAAACGAGGTAAAACTTCGAAATCCGTTTTGCGACGGGGGTTTGGGGTGTCTTCTCCGCCGCCGTCTCTCTCCCGGCAGCGTCCTCGTCGTTCGGTGCCGCGCGCCAACACGGGAACAACATTAGTAACTTATGGTTGCGGCCTAGCTGGATGCCTGGCTGCGTTTCAGACGGAGATCTGGAGGTACGGAAGCGTGTAAGGCCGCGCGGAGCCTAGACGAGCGTGGAATCCTTTGCGGGGGTGGCGGCGGAAAGGAGCCGAGAGGGCTTCT